CATAATTATTAGTTGGAAAGCAACACTTCAAAAGGTTGTTGCCTTATCAACCACTGAAGCGGAGTATATTTCCCTCACTGAAGTTGTGAAAGAAGCATTGTGGCTTGAAGGTTTTTCTAAGGAGTTAAAACTTAAAGGTCGAGTTATCACTTTTAAATGTGATAGTCAAAGGGCAATACACCTGTCGAAGAATTCAGCCTATCATGAGCAAACCAAGCACACCTATTTGAGGTTGCACTTTTTCAAAGAGATAATTAAGTGTCGATAAGTCCATGTGCTGAAGGTTTTGAGTGATGATAATATTGTTGATATGATCACCAAGACATTGCCAAGTGGCAAGTTTTTCCACTGTATGCAATTGATAAAGTTGTATGATGAAAGTTAGTTTGTTCCCTTGTTAGTGTAGAATTTATTCCAAGGTGGATATTTATGGTATTTGGATCGAACACTAGTGTCGACAAGGGCAACCTCATGGTTGGACATGAGCTGTGCATGTTGTAGTTGAAGTCTGTTCAAGCATGTTGTCGAAATATGTTAGTTTTGTGTTTAAGTTAGCATGTCGAATTAGGCCTTGCTTGTAACCCCAATTGTTAAGTTAGCTTATTAGTCTATAAATAGACTAGGTTGAAGGTGAGGAAAGTACACAAGAAGGGGGACTGAATTGTGTTTTTCATTTCCTTACTTTGCATCTGATCAAAGTTTAGAATCTAAACTGGTGTTCAGATTCTGGTTAATTCTTAGCAGCTGAATGTTAACAGAAGCAAATAAATAATAGCAGAAGACACAAAGATTTATATTGGTTCATCCCAAAGTGAGAGTAGTCTACTCTCCTTGTTTCACAAAAGATTTTCACTATAATCAAATCATGATTACAATCGTTTATGTATTCTGCATAAGACTTTTACAATTTCTCAGACCCAAGGTCCAAGACTTCTGCTCAAGCTCCTCACTCGAGACTTTCTGCTTAGGTTCTATAAACCCAAGACTTCCTTGCTCAGACCCTCAACCTAAGACTTTTTCTCCAAGTCCGATAAAATGAGCCTCTCTGCTTGCACCCCTCATGTCAAAACTTATTGCTCCAAATTCCATGTACTGAGCTCTCCTGCTCAAGCCTTATGGCTCAAAATTCCTGCTCTAAGTCCCATAAAATGAGCCTCTCTGCTTGCACCCCTCAGGTCAAGACTTACTGCTCTTAATTTCATGTATCGAGCTATCTTGCTTAAGTCACACTTGCTCAATACTTCCTACTCAATTAATCTACTTGATTAAGACTTTCACTGCTCAAGCACATAACAAGAGACTTATGTGGCTCAAGAATCTTGGCTTGAGACTTCCTTTCTTGTATCCCAATGACTCAAGACTTCTGTTCAATCAATCCACTTGATTAAGAATTTCATAGCTCAAGCACATAGCAAGAAACTTACGTGGCTCAATCATCTTGGCTCGAGACTTTCTTGCTTGTATCCCAATGCTACAATATTTTTATCTAAACTACTAAACAAGCTCAGCAGAATAGAGAACAAGGTGTAATTGACACAAGTATTAGAAGTACAGGAAATCACCATAACAAAGACTTAAAGCACTTAAGATTTCTAAGATATTCAATGTGTAAGAAATCTTAAGGCTTTTACAATTACAACTTACATCATAAAAATCTGCATATACAACGTGTTGATAATTGCTGATCTTGTTACTCCTTCTTCTGGATGATCCTTGTTAAAGATTCAGTTTGAACCTTCAACCATATTTATAGCCTTTTCAAAACTATTAGTTGAAGAGGTAACTTGATCAAGAGTCTTTGTTGTTACTCCATAGTACAAGATCCGTTGAAGATAGATACACCAAACGATCTTGATCCAATGTGTAACATGTTTAATCTTTGAGTCTTCAAGAGTTTTTGTACTATTAGAGCCGTTGAGATTAGATATCCATAAAGAATCACATCCTTTCTTGATCCTTGCAATCTGTAGACTCTAGCTGACAAACTAGTTTGACAATACAACTTGTTTTCTACATTATTAAAAACATCAGCTTTATCACCAAATCTGAATGGTACCAGAAGCCAATTTGCATTCACTAAGTGTAGAGAAAATCATGTTTCTTCTTATGATGCTGAGACCTTCAGCTTCAGAGTCTACGCTAGACATCACTTAACAAGTGTTGTTCAGATTCTGCCATCAGAAGCTAGCAATTCAGCAACTCTCAAAGTGTGTTTAATGTAACACAGATTCTAACTATAATATTTACAAGTATTAGAACCTGCAGACATGTAACACACATCAAATAATCCATTGTTCTTTCAATAGTTTATTATCATCAAAACCCAAGGAAGATATGTCATGAACAAATCTTGTTCTAACATAGTTCTCTCAGGTTGTTGAGAGAGGTTAATTGTTGTTATTCAGTTGTAATCTTTGAACCCTTATTTAGAAAGTAAATAGTAAAACAGTTTTAACTAATTCTTATTATTCTTCTTCCTTCTTCTTCTTTTTATTATTATTCTTCCTCTCTCTCTCTAAAACTGATTTGTAAGATGAGGGATGTCTTTCTCTATCAAGTCTTTTCAAGCTATATTTATTACACGAGTTGGGATTTTTCGAATAAACACCTCATATTTTTTTACTAAGGTGTTTCTCAATCTCTCTTCCACTTAATATATGAATCACACAAATGCAAAGTGTTCAAAAGTGTTTCTCAAACCCTTTAGATACCCCAAAAGGCTTTCAATTCTTAGAACACCGAATCATAACCTCTCATTTTGTCTCTTTAAATGTACCTCACTATGTTTTCAACTCTATCAATTTTGTATCCCAAAAAGGTTGAAAACGACTTTTATAAGTGTCAGGGGAAATGCATCATGTTTTCCTAAAACACATTGTGTTTATGCTAAAGGCAACACATTTTTGTGAATTCTCCAAAAATGATTTTTAAGCCAAATTAACACAATTCTCCACTTTAACTTAAAATTGACGATGATGTCCATTTACTTATCAATCACCTTGTTTCTCTCTCCGAAATATGAAGCATTTTTCAACGAATTTTATCAAGTCTAAAAATGCTTTAACATTTATCTAGGCAATGATTTGGTGAACACATTCACTAGATTCTCCTCTAAGCCACATTCTAAACCATAATCTCCTTCGACTCAATCATGTCCCTAATGAAGTGAAAATGAATATCAATGTATTTTGTTATCTCATGATGCACTTGATGATTGACCAATAGAATGACATTTTTACTATCATAATGTATCTTTAGACATTTTGAGTGATTCATAACTCCTCAATCATACCTCTTACCTATATGGCTTCCTTTACCCCCTTCAACAAGAACAATATATCTTGCTTGAATAGTAGATAAAACGACTACCAATTGTTGATATTCCTTCCAACCTATAGTTTTTCTAAACAACGTAAACATAAAACTCTAAAAGGTTTCTAGTGTCCATATTTATGCATCCATAAAACCCTCAAAAGCATATTGCTATTAGATTGTCTTTTTGTATTTCAAACTGCCCTTTAATGAATCGTTCGAATATCTGAATACACACTACAAAGCTTTCAAATGAACTTGGCCAGGATTGAATATAAACTGACTTTGTCTTCATTCATATTGAATGAATACAAAGCTTGCTTCAGGTAGAGGTGATTGACCAAAGATTTGGTCATATACAAACCCTCGAGTTCGCTCCACACACTCGCTTCCCTTTTCTCCTTTGAAACTTGTCGGAGAACCTTATCACAAAGGCTCAATATGATGGCCTTGCGGGCTTTCTCGATCATCATCATCCTCTCCTTCTCCGTTAGGGCAACATCCATCTTCTCTGATCCTTTTAACGCTTCTAACAAATCCTGCTGAGCCAGTAGGGGTTGCATCTTCAAGCGCCACAAACCAAAATCATTCACATTGGTGAATTTCTCAATCTCATACTTTGTTGACGACATCTCTTCCTTCCCGCTCACGACACATATTTGTTGTGAAACGATGCCAAAGAAAGCAGAGTATGATCAGTTTATTGATCAACAAAAAAACCACAAGGTAAAGGAAAAGAGAAAAGACAATTCAAAGTGGTTAAAACTGGATTATTGATTCAATTACACATCAAGGAACATTGTTTGCAATTGAATCTCACCCACATCTCTTTCTCCCTCTGATTAGGATTATCAAGGGTTGATGGAGAAGTGAGAACTAGTATGCTATTGATAAGAAAACTAAACCCTAACTTTCAACTAACATACTAAATAATTTGTCCAATACGCTGACTCAATTCAACTTTCTAACTTAACCAACAAGCTAACATAATTCTGCGTGCAAGAACAGACTTTGCCTATGGCATGCACATCTTCGACTACTATCGAACCATGAAACTAACCTTATCGAAACTTGAGTTCGATCCAAATACCATAGTCAAAAATAATTTTTTTTTACCTCGACAAAATCAACTCATAATATAATACGAATTTGTCTAAAATTAAAATAATGTTAAATTATTATGTATGTGACATATATAGTAATATAATACTAGCAAAATGTCAATATCTCAAAATATTAACTTTATTATATAGGTAAAATATATCAAATCACCATATAAAAAATAGAATGCTTGTATCAAAATAAAGAAATTACTTCATTGAATCATACAAACGTTAAAGAACATTCCAAAATATAAATTTAAAAGTACTTTCCATAATAACTAGTTTCATAAATTTCTAAAGTCGTTAAAATTAATAGTATAAATAATAATATTTAAAGTTAGTCTCTTCAAAAGTTCAATTATTCTACAAGGCTATAACATCATCTTCATCATTCTATTCATCTCAAATATCATTAAAATTTTCTCTACATGATAATGCATCATAGGACTAATTAGTGAGAGTTTGACACGTAAAACTTTTGCCACTTTTTACGAATCACAAGAACCTAAGTGAGTGGTGTAAAAAAGTACTCTAAACATAAAAGTATATGCGTAGTAAACTAAAAGAAGAACAAGAAACAAAACCATGCAATCCATGCAAATAAAAGATGAAAAGAAAGAAGATAACGATGATCAGCACGAGCAAGTTGATTCTGCCTCTGCCCTCCAACAATATCTTGATCACATACCAATTACCTCAATATCTGGCATATACAATTCACTAGGTATGATACTCATGTTACTTTGTTAACAACCTTCTTTTGTTTATTCCTATGTTCCAATTCCCTCCCATGTTGTTTTGTTTCTTCCTATGTTAAGTGTTGGAAATAAAAGTTGGAGACACTGTAAGGGATGCAATTCATATGTTGTACGAAAACAAGACCTTTGGTGCAGCCATTGTTGATGTTTTGGACACTGAAACATCCGGTGTCAGATTTTCCAATCGATATATCGGTTTCATTTTGTTTCCAAACATCGTTCTTTGGTGTCTCGAGGTATATATATTTATTACTTGTATCTTCATATACGACACAAAATTCTCATTGAGCATGTTGTATTTTCAAGGAATATGAAAATATGAAGGAAGATGCCAATGGCAGACACCTTAAAGATATTGAGAATGATGACCTTTTCTCCATTCTGGACCAGATTCCTCAGATTGGGCAAACCAAGGTTTTCCATGTTCTTATTCTTTTAGCTTTCTATAAAATGGTTCATGTGTTGAATTGAAATTGGAAAAGAGTAAACACCATGAATAAAAATGTACCAGAAGTTTTGATTTATTCGTTACTAGGTTGGCGAGTTGGCTAAGTCGTTCCTCTGGGAACCGTTTTTTCCGGTACGCTTGGATGACACAATTCTGCACGCATTGCTACTTCTTTCTAAGCATAGTCTGCATGTTTTGCCTGTCATACAACAACCTGATGCTGCTGCACTCATCGGTTTTGTTACTCAGGTATCTGTCGAGTTATTGACTGAAGAAGCATATGTATGCATCTTCTTGAAAATTTGTATATTCGGGATGAGTATTGTGTTTGCTATTATGCTAGAATGCTCTAGTGGAATTACTTCTTCAATCAAGCGAACTTGAGTGGTTTGATAATATTGCAAACAAGAACCTGTTAGATTTCCGGTATTTAAGATCTTACCTTTTAGACTATATGCATTTATTTTGAACTATGTTCTAGCTCTGACCCTTTCTTGTCCTAGCACAGATTTGAAGCCCAAGAACATCCTAGATGTGTATTTGGGAACCAAACTGTTGCAGATGCTTTGAAGCTGCTATGGCAGAACCAAATCTGTACAGTTGCAGTCGTGGATCGACAAACCAAGAAGCTCATCGGTAATGTGAGGAACAGTGACATTTATAATCTTGTAAAGAACAAGGATCTCCTTAGAAATAGAAGGTAAGTTCAAAAAACTCGTCTAATCTATCTTTGCCTTCGGCCTATGAATGAATATATAGACAGATGTAGAATAAGAGTTTAACTTTAACACACGATTAATACTTGTTTCTATGAAATGACAGGATTGTAACTGTTGAAGAATTTCTCCGCACAGAGACCGACACAACAGACGCTGAACCAATCACTGAAAATGATCATGGTGCTGATCAAACTACAGGAAGTCTCCACCTGAAAAACAGCTTCAAATCCAGAATGGATTTGCCGGTAACCAACAAGGAAAACGACACGCTAAAGCAAGTAATGGAGCAAATGACAAAGACTAATAGCTGTTTCAGTTTTCTGATAAATGATAACAAGCAAGTTACTGGTTTGATAACAGTGAGAGATATAATTCTGCAATTTGCACCTCCATGTGTGAATTCTAGTATTGGAGGAGGTGGATTTTTTGAATTGGCTTTGGAGCAGAGTAGATGTCATATTAGTAATGGAACTATAATTCGTAACCATTGATCAAGGTGTGCATAATGTATGCTTTCCAATCCATTTACTTACAGAAAACATGTAACAACATTAGGCCTTCGAACATGAAGAAATTATTCAGAAATTAGGATTCTTCATTCATAGTTTCTTTACGGAGTAAAATACATTTACGGCCATATAATTTGCCACAGTTTTAGCCAGAGGAAAAATCACATATCGTTTTGCAACTCAGACAAATTGATTAAGAAACTCATCTACAGTGGTGTATTTAACATCTGGATAGAGAGCTGTAGCTTCAACTCCAAATGGTGCCTCAATTTCAAAGTTAGTATGATCCCCTTTTATATACACACAATGAGCGAGCGACAGCATCGTACTTAACGGAGATGATTCTGAAAGAAACAAAAATTAAATTAAGTTATTTTTGTTTTTATTCAGATTGAATTATGTTCAATAACAGGCGTGAGGGTTAACTCAACTCTTACAAAACAGACTTGTAACGTGAGGATCACATGTAATGTGGGATTCTCTTAACAGTTACTAACCTTGAATTTGTTTGAGTACCTCTTCCTCGGGGACATAGATTCTTTCAAGAGTTTTACCGATCTTCTTCTCCCATAGTGATACCAGATCATTAAAAGACAATGTATTATGTTTTGGTCTAATGTACAGAATTTTGTTCAAGGTTCTTGGATCATCAACAGCTTTGATTGTATAAGCAGCAATATCCTCTTCCTTGTTAAAAACAACTGTAAGTAATTAACCAAGCAAAAGTCATTAGTTAGGACATAGAGATATTTAGTGAAATTTAATGTAAACGTGTCTCTAGTTTTCTTTCACCTTTGGGATTTCCATCTCCTAGGATAACAACTTTATCTCTCGGTGGAGCTGTAGCTCCAAACTGTGACAAAGTAGATAGGAAATAAGCAGCAAAGAAGTTGTTTGACACATAAGTGTATGGAATTCCTTCAGCCTCAATGGCACGGCGGATTCTGGCTTTAGTGGTGTATGTACTCTTTGCTGGTTCAACCGCATGACTCCTGTCCACATCGTTTCCGAACTCAGAAGGAAAGAATCTCTATCGAACAAAATAGTCATTAGAGCAATATCACATTTTAAACTATCAAACCGGTTTTTGTAAGATTGAGTTAGACTCAACCTCAAATTCTAAAGTGGTGTCAAAGTCTCGTTTCAAAATTCATTGAGCCACTTTTTATAAGGTTTCGCTATCAAATCACCCACCATTTATATCCATGAATCAAACTCAATAATGCTTAGCTTGAAACATATGTTTGCAGGTAGGAGCAATCTCAACCTTACAAATCGGTTTTGGAGTCTCACATGGGATGAAAGTCGAATTTAACACATGTTTATAAGTATTTACAAGTGTGGACAATGGTCACATTAAAGCTTGTTTTGGAGAGTTGAATTTGGCCAACCCAAATTCAAAGAGCTTCTCTTTAAACCATAAAACTTTTAAATTGTGATCCGCATCAGAGTGTAATTACACTCTGATTTAAAAAATTATACGTTCGGCCGCATTAGGAACTTCAATAGAAAATTTTGTCCTTGTTTCTTCAATTAATTTCATCAAAACTCATAAATTTTCATAACCCAAAAACTCAATTTCCTTATGTGATAAAAAAGTTTTAGTTCGTATTTAGAACTCCTCTTTATCAAAATTTATACTCCAACGACCACAAAATGCATTGCAACAACCGTAATGGCAACACTCACAACCACAACCGCATCTGCGACCGCAATTTAAAACCATGCTATAGAAACATGTTTGAGATTTTGAAAGTACCTTAACATTTCCTGCTTCTTTGATGGCAGAAATGATTTTATCTTGATCAGCGACGCGATAGTGAGATATCGTAGAAATAACAACATCAACTTGTTTTATTGCCTTCACCAAACTTTGATGATCATAGAGATCTCCCTGAAAAACATATCCAAACACTCAAATTTTGACATGAATAAATAAATGATTCAAAGTAAGAAAATGAAAAGGATTTTAGTACGTACAATAACAAGATTGACAGATAAGTCTTTGAATTTGTTGATGATGGATGATTTAGAAGGATCGGAAAGAGTTGACTCCCGGGTTAAAACGAAGGTCGGGTGTCCGGCTTTGACGCTGGCTTCCGCGATGAACTTTCCGATGTAACCGGTGCCGCCGATCAACAGAATCTTGCTCACGTTACTCCCTGCCATTACAGTTACTTTGATGAAATTCACAAATATGAAAGAAAGTATGGAGTAAGGGAATGTACTTGTCCTATTCTATATCTACCCGGGGCTGCGTGGTTTTACTATTTTAAAATTTATGTATCTATAATTATACATGATCTATAACTATATATATCTATAACTATAGAAAGGAATTGACATTTTTGGGTTGGCCTTTTAACTATTGGAGATGAGCAGTTAAGATAATTGATAGGAGTTACAAAAAAACTGCATCTAATTAACCGTTAATATAAGTTATGCATACTGCATACCGATCATATACAGAAAGCTGCATCTAATTAACCAAATAACCCAACACACAATTATCCAACAACGTTGTCCATATCAGAAACTTTTTCTCAAGGCTTTCCATCTAAGCCAACAGATGACCATAATAGCCAATACCCTTCACCAAACCAATCTCCAGCCAAGAGCACACTTAGGACCAAACTCTTCTACTTTTGACACAATTGAAGAAAAGGTGCATAACATCTTCAAAAGAATTAAAACACAAGGCACATACCAATTCATGAGTGTTAAAAACCAAACCTTTCCTAATGAGATTGTCCCTTGATGGCAGTCTGTTCTAACAAAGTCTCCAAGAGAAAATCTTCAATTTCGCTGGTGCAGTAACTTTCCAAATCACGTGCCAGCTTACAATCCTGCTCCTGAATCACATCAGCAGCCTGACACGCAAGCCTGTTATAGGATGATTTGATAGAGAAACATTGTATGTTACAGAAGGGCCAAATGATCTCATTTTCTCCCACTCTATTAGAGCTGTTGATATTTATAAATATATATATATAGTGTTAAGAATATTTGTATATAGAATAGTTCCACATCGACTATATCATGTAATTAGTTGTAATCTATTTATATATAATAATGTCTCCGTAGTGCTTTTCAAAACACGCAATTTATTCATGTCTCTTAGTCTTTTGTATTTCAACATGGTATCTAGAGCCTACTAAGAGGCAATTCTTTCTTCGCCGTATTTTACCCGGTTGACCTACTGTCTTCCAGTGAGAAAATTTTTTTTTTTTTGGTAAACCGTGTTGTCACTCCGGTTTGCCTCTCACTTTTCAAAATTCTCCCGTAACCGTCTTGCCGCCGTTACAGTTTCGGAAAAACTTCCGACGACGTTTTGAAAAACCGATTTTGTCGCTGTCCTCCGATTCGGTCGTCGCCCTTTTTTTTTCGTTTTTTCCGCTGCTGTCCCAGGGCCTTTTTTTCCGCTGCTGCCTCGGCGGCTAATTCCAACTGTTTTTCTGCCGATCTACTCGCCTGTCCTCACCCATTCCAGATCCGACCTCTGTTTTACTTTCCGACTCAGAGCACCGATTTCACTTTGTTTGTCATTAAGCTATAGGAGACGTTGATTCTGTCTCGTTTACTAAAGTTCCTCTTATCCCATGTGAAAAACTCACTGGATCAGCAAATTATAACATATGGGCTCGTGCTGTCAACATGTGGTTTCGTGGTCAGGGTTATGAAGATCACCTAACCACACAATTGACTAATGTTGCCTCCGACAAACTTGCTAAATGGAAGAAAACAGATGCCTCTCTCCTTACCGTGTTATGGTTCTCCATAGCACATAACCTCCAAGCGCAGTATCAAGCCTTCTCCACTTGCTATGAAGTTTGGGAAAAGGCCAAGAAAGTCTTCTCCAACGACTTTCATTGTCTATACAGTGTCATCCTCAAACTCGACACACTAAAGATGGAAAATATGGATATGCAAACCTATCTGAGTAAGCTTGATGCCTTGAAAGCAAGTTACACAACCCCCATGCGGTACGCAAAAGACGCAACAGCTCATGCCGAACAACAGAGTAAATTTTTCATGGTCATGGCACTTAAAGGACTATCATCCGAACTCGATGCCGTTCATAACCAGATTTTATCAGGTACTACTGTTCCTAACTATGATGCAGTTAGTGAACAACTGTTGCGCTTGACTACACCTCATGCGTTTGGTCCGGTTTCCCCTCCATCCACTGTTGCTCCAAAACCAGGTGACACTGCTGCCCTCGCATCTCTTGGCAACAATCATAATCGCCCTCAAGGAGGGTCATCCAACTCCAAACCTCGTCCCAAATGTAACCATTGTAACCGGCTTGGACATACTATCGACCGTTGTTGGAAGCTACACGGCAAACCCCCAAGCCAGGTAAATGCAGCTCAAAGTGATAACTTAGAAACTATGCAGACTTCACCTTCTATTTAGAACCCTACGCCAAGCTACGAAGATTTTCTCAGGTGGTGTCAGACTAATCAGATCTCTGGTTCCACTGCTTCGATTGCACACACTGGTAATTCATCTGTTTGCTTCTCTCAATCATCTCCTCTTGGTCCTTGGGTCCTTGATTATGTTGCGTCTGATCATGTTACTGGTAATAAAGGTTTTTTTTCTTCCCTCTCTACCTCTGGTTTCTTGCCTATTATAACTGTCGCAAATGGTTCTCAAACCCGATCCCAAGGGATTGGTACTGTTCAAATTTTACCATCTCTCTCTGTTACTTTTGTCCTTTATGTACCTAATTGCCCATTTAATTTACTGTCAGTCAGTCGTTTAACTCGTTCCCTTAATTGTTCTATCACCTTTACTAACAGTAATGTTACTCTGCAGGATCGGAGTTCGGGACAGACGATTGGCGTCGAATGTGAGTCTCAAGGCCTCTACTACTTCTCTACGTCATCTACCACGTACTCCACCACAGATTTTCCACTCATTATACATGCGCGGTTAGGTCATCCAGGTCTTCCCAAGCTACAAAAGTTGGTGCCCAGTTTATCTAAATTATCCACTTTACATTGTGAGTCTTGTCAGTTAGGGAAACATACTCGTAGTCACTTTTCCGATCGAGTCAATAAACGGGCTGCGTCCCCTTTTGCTTTAGTTCACTCCGATGTTTGGGGTCCCTCACGTACCGTGTCTACTTTTGAGTCTAGGTATTTTGTAACCTTTATTGATGATTTTTCACGTTGCACGTAGTTATTTTTAATGAAGAACAGGTCTGAATTGTTTTCTATTTTTGAACAATTTCATCGAGAAATAAGAACCCAATTTGGTTTATCTATTCGTACCCTAAGAAGTGACAATGCACGTGAATATTTATCCCAACAATTTCAAACATTTATGTCATCCAATGGTATTTTGCACCAAACATCTTGCCTTCATACACCCTAACAAAACGGGGTAGCCGAACGCAAAAATCGGCACCACGTAGAAACCACTCGGACACTACTTCTCCATGGTAATGTTCCTCTCCGGTTTTGAGGAGATGCGGTGCTCACAACATGTTACCTCATAAATCACATGCCCTCATCTGTCCCTAATAATAAAATCCCCCATTCAATCCTGTTTCCAAACTCTCCACTCCACCCAATTCCTCCTCGAGTCTTCGGGTCAACGTGTTTTGTACACAATCTCTCCCCCGGTCTTGATAAACTATCAGCTCGATCACTAAAGTGTGTCTTTCTTGGCTATCATCGATCCCAAAAAGGTTATTGTTGCTACTCACATACTCTACAACGATACCTCGTATCTGCTGATGTTACCTTTTTCGAGTCTGTTCCATATTTCAAATCCAGCCAAGTAACTACGGAACCTCTACGGGAAAGTATTCCCACACCTGTTCCGGAAGTCCCATCTGTCATTATCCCCCATCATTCTAGGGAACCTGACCCACTAGTTACCCCTACGGTTGACCCCCCACTCCTCGTCCACTTCAAACATATCAGCGTCATCACCCAAAGTCTGTCGTACCTGCCCCTAAAGTCGTATCTGTCCCTGAAGTCATATCTGTCCCTGAAGTCGTACCTGTCCCAGAAGTCGTACCTGTCCCCGAGGTCACTACGGACTCTCCTCCGACGCTCTCGCCATCACCGGATTCGATCCTGCAACCTGAGTCTGATCTTCCGATTGCCCTTCGAAAAGGTATACGTCAAACACAAAATCCTTCTCCACATTATATTGATTTATGTTATCATCGTCTTTCCCCTTTGCAGTATACTTGTTTGTCTTCTTTGTCTTCTGTTTCTATTCCTAAAACTCCAGGTGAAGCATTATCTCACCCTGAGTGGAGGCAAGCAATGATTGATGAAATGTGTGCTCTTCAAAGCAGTGATACCTGGGAACTGGTTCCTCTACCCCATGAAAAATATTTAGTAGGTTGTCGTTGGATTTATACAGTGAAGGTTGGTCCAGATGGCAAGATTGATCGATTTAAAGCTCCTTTGGTAGCCAAAGGATACACTCAAATGTTTGGGTTGGATTATGGTGATACCTTTTCGCCTGTAGCCAAGATGGCATCTCTTAGACTTCTTCTAGCCATTGCAGCCATTCGACATTGGTCTCTTCATCAACTTGACATCAAAAATGCATTCTTACATGGCGATCTTGAAGAGGAAGTATATATGGAGCAACCACCTGGGTTTGTTGCTCAGTGGGAGTCATCAAATATGGTTTGTAGGCTACGCAGGTCTCTTTATGGTCTTAAGAAATCTCCGAGAGCTTGGTTTGGCAGATTCAGCATTGTAGTACAACAGTTTGGTATGATCCGTAGTGAAGCTGACCATTCTATTTTTTATTGTCACTTACCCAAGGGTGTATTTATCTTATTGTGTATGTAGATGACATTGTCATAACTGGTAGTGATCAGCAGGGAATACTCCAGTTGAAACAACATCTCTCGAAACAATTTCAGACAAAAGATCTTGGTAAACTCCGTTATTTCTTGGGTATTGAAGTAGCCCAATCTAAAGATGGTTTGGTGATTTCTCAACGGAAATATGCTATGGATATTTTGGAAGAAACAGGTTTGTTAAATGCTAAACCAGCCGATACTCCTATGGATCCAAGTGTTAAACTACTACCCAATCAGGGGGAGCCTCTATCTGACTCAGAAAGGTATAGGAGATTGGTTGGAAAGTTGAATTATCTCACATTCACTCGTCCGGACATTTCTTTTGCAGTTA